TCGGTTCTAGTGTTTTCACTGTGCACCTAAAGTTAGCTGCTGCCTCGGAAAAAAAAAATGTGGGAAGGGATTCCATGTTGGCGTCGGCTCTCTGCGTTGCAGTTTCTGCAGTTTTATTCAGCGTGTAAAGAAAGAACTGGCCAATACGGGATTCTGACAGTTTGAAAACCTTTTATCAAAAAATCCCTGTTTCACGATAGTTAACCAAAAATTAAAAAAAATAAATATGTTACACATTTTATTTACTTTTGCTTAAAAACGAAAATGCAATTACAGTTGTCCGTACACTGAAGACCCGCGATAAGTCAAAAACCGCAAAGTAGGAATAGTAGTACAAGTAGTAGTTTATTTTATTATTTATATCTACACTGCCTGGCCCAAAAAAAGTCTCCAATTACTGCAGTGACCATTATCTTTCAGCTGCAACAAGTTATTTAACTCCAACTGGTGCAATGAGTTGCTTCTCATTTCTTAAACAACCGTGTGGAAAGACACGTCGTGTGGTCGTGGAAAAGATGTCCGTCTGTTTGAGAAGTGTCAAATCATTGACATCAAGCAGAGAAAACATCTAAGGAGATTGTAGAAACTACTAAAACTGGGTTAAGAACTGTCCAACGCATTATTAAAAACTGGAAGGATAGTGGGGATCCGTCGTCTTCCAGGAAGAAATGTGGCCGGAAAAAAATCCTGAATGATCGTGATCGGCGATCACTTAAACGTTTGGTGAAATCAAATGGAAGAAAAACAACTCAGGGATGTGTTTAATAGTGAAAGTAAGAACATTTCCACACGCACGATGTGAAGGGAACTCAAGGGACTGGGACTGGACAGCTGTGTAGCCTTAAGAAAACCACTAATCAGTGAGGCTAACTGAAAACAAAAAAAAAAGGCTTCAATTTGCTAGGGAGCATAAAGATCGGACTCTGGAGCAATGGAAGAAGGTCATTTGGTCTGATGAGTCCAGATTTACTCTGTTCCAGAGTGATGGTGCATCAGGGTAAGAAGAGAGAGGCAGGTGAAGTGATGCACCCATCATGCCTAGTCATCAATGAAAGATCTTGGTGAAAAATTAATGCAACACTGGATGAAATAGATCTTGTGACATCGCAGAAGATTATGGAAACAATGACACAGTGAATGCATGATGTAATCAAAGCTAAAGGAGATCCAACAGAGTATTAGTGTGACCTTTTTTTTTTTTTTTTTTTGGTGGCAACTTTCTTTTTGGCCAGACAGTGTATTAAGGTGTTTTAAACCCTTCCCACACTCTTACAATATTCTAAACAATGTTTCTAAACTCTAAACACTAAAAGAGCACAGAATGTCATGATTTCAGCTCCCTGCCTCCGCTGCTCTCAGCCA